AGTCACATTATAGACACAGGCTCCCATCAGATGTGTTGGGTGTACAGGTGGGATTTCTGAGCCCTGCTCCCATGTCCTGGAGGGGCTGAGTCAGAGGTCATGGTCCTACCTCTGTAGGTGGGCCCCCTCCTCGTCCAAGTGAGGATTCCTGCCCCCTCCCTTTCTGAGGGGGTGGCTCAAGCAGCGCCTGTGCCCAGTCCTGGAGCTGGGAAGTCAGATCCGTCAGGCCCCATTGTTGGCTGGTCCTGTCTCATGGGAGACTCAACCCTGAGTCAGTGGAGGGCAGGGCCACAGTAGTCGGGGTTGGTCCTGGCTCTTCTGTGGAATGACGTCCCCCCAGCACCTGCCAGGGAAGGGCCAGGGGCTGTCTGCGATGCCCTTTGCTGTCTCCTCCCTTCGTTTCCAGCCCCATCTGTGGTGAACCTGGGAGACCTCCACTGAACCTATCTGCATTCCTGTGTGCAAGGAATTATGGGGCAGCATGCTCCCTCCATCACAGGGGCTGTGCGTAGGTTCTAGAAACTCTGAGTAATGTCTTCCATGACGCCAGGCCTGCAATGGGCAGGGGGGGACTTTGGTCAAGCCAGGTCCAACTGACGCCCAAGTGGAGGGGCCCCTTTGCTGACGTGCTGTGGCCTGTGTCTGCGGACTTGTCATGGCTGCAGACGTGTGAGGGGACAGGCAGAGCTCCTAAGAGGTCAGTGGTGGCGAAGGGCCGGTCCCCCACGTCTGCTGAGGAGCACAGTGATTTATTTTCCTGTCTGAATCTTGGTTTGCAGTGGGATTTGCAGCCACGAAAGTTCTTGGCCAGGACATTTGTGTCTTAGGAAATGTCGGGCTGCACTTTTATTTTTAGCTTCAGGAATGCGACGCTTGATAGGATTTGGATTTTTTAAGATGAGCCAACTTTAAGATGAGAACTATGTCCCTTGACCCCATGCCGCTCCTGTTTAAAGGAGGTCGCAACTCCACGCTGGAGAACAGGAGCTGCCCATGCCCTGCTTCCTGTGTGCCCCGAGCCCCCACCACCGGCCAGGAGGAACCAGGAACCAGGCTCTACAGGGACCAGACTGAAAACCACTCTCCAGGCTGGGGCTGGAGCTGGGCTCTCAGGTCAGGGCACAGATTTCCCCACTGGAGGGGCTGCTCTGTGAGTGCTGACCAACCCCAACCCCAGGGCGGTGGGTTGCAGACCAGAAAACTGCCCCACTCCTGCCAGCAGCTGAGCATGCAGCAGGCAGGCTTCTCTGGCCCTTGCATTTTCCTGGGGATCATAGAGTGTGGGGGGTGCGTGTCAGTGGAGCACTTCCTTCAGGGCAGGATTATAGCCCAGGCGCAGCTGAGTGAGGCAGCCTGGCCCTAGTAGGGCCTTCCAGACCCGTGCACAGCATCCTACTGTCATTAACAGCCCCTAAGCTGGGATCAAGGTGCTGTCAAGTCACGCCCGGACTCCCTCACGTAGCTGCTTCCTCGTATCTCCCTCTGAGTGGCCCAGGCTGTCTTCATTTACCACAAGCTCACAGTTGGCATTTCGATATCTGCCATTTCTGAGCAGAGCACATGGGAAAGACTCAGCCCTTGAACTAGAACCTTGGTTCAAGTCACAGGCTTGCCCCAATCTTAACCCCTTCTGAGATGGAAACAGCCCTGTGAAGATGAGTTGATGAGAAATGCAGTGTGTGCCCTGCCCCCTTCACCCCTCCCTCCTGCCTAGAGAGTTGTACAACTAGGCCTGAGTGGAAATACTCTTGTCTCCCAGACTAAAGGTGGTTGGAAATAGAAGGCACTTTCCTCGACTTGCAGCCCATATCAGTGTCCCCAGAGGTTGTGAGACCCTCACCCTGTGTGGCATATGATGCACCCTCAGGTGCTCAGTCTGAACTGTAGCCCACCCCACCCTTCATGGGTCCCACCCCACACAGTGAGCTCCCCTGCAGCCTGAGCCCTTCCCTTGCTCTCTGCCAGGCTCATGTGTGCATTTCCTGTTCCAAGCCTGAGATAGTCATTTCTCCAAGAAGCCTGGCTTCTCAGAGTGAGAAGTGGTCTTTAGAGACCACAATTTGGGTGCTCAGTGTGCCCACTGGTGCTAGATTACAGTTGTTTTGAGCTGTTTCAGTGGGCAGGTTTAGGAAATATGCATATTTTTAAGAGAAGAAAAGCACCAGTCCTTGCTGCAATTTACTCAAATTTACTATAAAGAGGTTTTACTTCACTTCATTGACTTTATATGGGTATCTCAGAGTATCTTTCTTGTCTATGTTAGGCAGTTTATCTACACTAGTTTAAAAATGACAGCATTGATAATGCAACTAACAATATGACTGCCAAATGCAAGCTAACATTTCTACATGATTCTTTGAGTCCATAGAACATTTCCCACTAGGAATGTATACTCAAAATACTGCATTTTAAAGTCTCTGGAAATAATATATTTTTGTGCAATTTAATATTTACAGATTACATTTCTTTTCAGTTTTTTGTATTTTTAGAAATTTAATTTCTTTAAGAAACCATTAGAGATAATCACATGATCCCAAAGTTGAATAACTACAGTTGAATTGCATGAATCTACTTATATTGTGGATTTAAATTTGAGACAATATTTTCAAAATAAAAATTCAATGGGAAGGCTGGAAGAAAAAGAGGAAGAAATTTTCTAAAATGCAGAGAATAAACAAAGATGGGTGGACAAATGAGGGAAATTAATAAGTATGGAGGCTTAATTCAGGTACTCCTACCTGATAGAAGTTCTAGAACGAGAAAACAGAAAATTTGGGGGAGGAAATACTAAAAGAATTAATAGAAGAAAATTTCCGGGATTGGAAACAAGATGGCAGCGCAGGTAACGGCTGCACTGGCTGCCTCTCACAACCACATCAAAATTACAACTAAAATACAGAAACGCCGTCACTCAGAGCCTCCTGACATCTGGCTGCACAGAAGCCCCACAGCCAGGGACCTGGAGAAGCACCGAGACCGGGAGGAGGGGCGCAGACGCGGGCGGGGCGGGGCTGAATCCCAGAGACGCGGCCTCGGCCCACACCCGGTGCTGCTGTTTAAACCCGGGAGGGAATCTTGGATGGGGGTTTCCCGGAGGAGGGAGGGGACCCAGCCCCACAGCAGCCCCCAGCCCAGGGTCCCAGGGCCGGGAAGAGACGTCCCCATAGCTTCGGGCTGTGAAACCAGAGGGGACTGTCGCTGAGGGTCACGGAGGCTGCGGGAGCCCCAGCAGCTCCTCTAAAGGGCCCGGCACGGACTCACTCGGA